GGTTTTTGAACATCACTGAATGTTTAGCTAAAATTTTAAGAATTTTTAATCCTCTATTTGTTTGTCTTTGCAGGCCCGTAGTTTCACTTGCGTATCATTTGTAAGTTGATCCTATAAACTTTTAGATAAACATATAGACGCTAATTGTCTTCTATTTGATGGTTATTATTTCTATTTTACCTCATTGGACGTTTTCCACACGTATGCCTCTGTTAGAGCAATTAAAAAAATCTGCTGTGGATGATCAGCAATGGCTCACGTACTAGGTGTTGTACTCATTTATCACTCTATTCGAGCTCACCTTTGCTCCAGTACTCAAATGGTAAAAACAACAAACTTTTCTACACAAGTGCACATTTCATCATAGCTTTAGTTTAATGTGCACATTCCATCTTACCTTGATTTCTTTGCTATTGACCATCTCTGGTTTAGTACCGCACTTCATCGTTCACTGCTATAGTGCTCTCTCATGATTTGGCTGATAAGTTTTTTGGATACATCATGAGATGAATGGAAATGCTCATCACAGGCATAACTTTTGCACTTTACAGGCTCCCTTTCTGGTCTTACGCAAAACCGTTTCTCAATTGCTGGTTAGTATTGCCATGGTTTAATGGAGGTGCACATGTATATGAGCATTTTGTGAGGCCAATGATCGTAAATCAGCAAGTTTGTGTGCTTCTGGTATATTCCAATGAAGGATGAATCAAGTAGGCATGATGATGTAATTTCAAATTTGCAGAGATACATTGAGTAAAATGGATCAAAAGCGTTTGAGAATCTTGTTAACAAGGTATTATCATTTCTGTTAAATGTACCATTCTTATTTGTGAAAATGGTGGCCACTTGGCACCAGTTAGTTTGCTTGTCTTTGTGAGAAGCACAACAAAGTGCCCTCTGATCTACAACAATGATGATGGCCTAATGATTAATGATATTGCAGTGTGGTTTTTTTCTATGCATACTACGGAATTTTAATTACCAACTGTCATTGCTTTGCACATTTTCCACATTCTAGGCCCTTATTCCTTACTGAAAGGGTTATTACCAGAATGAGCTTTAATTTGGGGTGAAATAGCTGGGCTTTATCTTCAGAAATTTTGTAAGGACACTGCAACAAAGCTGAGGGCAAATGAGGGTGATCCGGAGTTCGACAGCTTGTGGTGCTCTTATGACCTAGGTTCACTATTGCAGCTTTTAGACATTATTCATTAAGTTTGCTTGTTGATCTTAACACAAAATTGAACAAAAGCTGGCTTGTTGAGTTTATATAAAACTGAATCGAGTTTTTTAGATGCAGGAAGTCTAATTTTCGGCCTTGGCATCAAAAACCGAATAAGTTAGTTTATGAAAACCCAAGGGACACAATCTGTTAGATTAGCAGGTGTTTTTTTATCCCATTGCCCAAAAGGTGGAAACATCATATTACTATTCATAGAATCACAAGGCTTTTGGCTATCGCAGAGCTCAGTGAAAAAAATATTCCGTTTTATTTTTTATAAATTTTATCTTGTTTTGTATTTTACTCTTTTGTGTTTTGTTCTTTTTAATCAAATTCCCCGAATGATAGGATCATGGAATGAGGATCGAGAAATGTGGTACGCTTCGAAATGCTCCTTGAGAAAGGGTTTTTCACTATCGGGATGAAACTGATCCCTTTCCTGGAATGGAAACGCACATTCCCGGGACGTGGAACGTGGCACCGTACCACATTCTCAATGAGTGGCGCAGAGTGGTAGCGTGGAAAAGCACAAAGCAACCCAACAAGTTGCCCCTTCTACAACTTTTAGAGTTGCAGCATGGGAAGCACTAATGGGATTACACATGGAGGCAGGGCAGGAGATGTCCTACTTGATTTCCCCAAATGATTCAGTTGATCTGTCAAGATGATAGCAAATGGTCTAACGAGGACCATCTTAAATTTTGGGTTAATTCTATCAGAGGACTTGTTCCACTTCTGAATGGAGAAACATAATCTATTGAAGTGCATCTATCTATTGAATCACACACATGGATGACCTAGATATGAATGTTTGGATTGTGCTAGATATAGTTGATTTATTTTTTAGTTTTATGATTTATCTTTGTTTCAATACTTAGATTCATGGAATCATATTATCCGTTCCGTTCGTTAAAGAAATATCTGAGTGGCCATGGACAAAGCATGCTTGTTTTTCTAGATAACGATTTCAGTAACTGTTCCCATTTGTCACTGAAATCACATTAATCAAGACTGTGGACTTACTAAAACTATTCTACAGGTGATCTGTTCTCACTGCCCCAAAGAACAGGATGTAAGTTGTCTACCAAAAAGTACTCCTACGATATTGTTTTTCGGGAGCATTCGTCTGTGGCTGTACTAACTGCATGAAAACTGTTCATTTCCAACGGAACTGCTCCAATAGAACTGTTTATTTTTGGATGGATCTTCACCATGTTTCTGTTTCTCGATTATTAGGTAATGGAAACATTTTTTCCTGCAAAAACTTATAATTACAAAGCTGTGGATATCATTGGGGACTAATTGCCGGCAACGGTTTTCCGATGATAGATGCAGGAGTTACACCTATGTGAATATTATTGTTGTGTTGTCAATATTTTGAGACTGCGGTTAGGCCATTAGTGTAGAGAACATTAAATAGTTATCATGCAAAGTTCAATAAGTTTAAGGTTGTAGAAATTTATTTAAACTTTTCATCAGAGCATACTGCACTGGGTTGGGAGTTATGCTCATGAGAGGTACCGGAATGGTTTGCTTTCTCAAATTGAGTGTTTCTTATTCTTGCAAGGCTCGATCTCTCACCACTAAAAAGACTAAAAGTGGACACCGCTTTGGTGCGACAATCCAATATTTGGTCATCGATCTGCCTGCGTGCGATCCCACGCTCCTGGCTGCATCCCACGCGCAGCATGCCATCCCCACGCACAACTGATAATTCAAAGAAATGGTTAGTTCTAAAAGGTTGAGAAATCAATTAATCTTGTTAGGGTGATATGAACTTTTATGTGCGTATGCATAAATGTACAATACTATAAATACATACCTTGATGATTACAAACCATCGATGAGAATTTTAGCCATGTACAAAATTCATTTTGTAATATTGACATTCTGAACATCATGCTCGCATTATCGTTTTTTAACCATATAACACGTTCATGCTCAAATTATCAGGGCATTATTTGTTCCCGTTGCAACGCATGGAAATATCTATACAGTAGAATTGGTGAGCCTGCGACGCCACGCTTTTCGTGACTATGTTAATTTCACGAACTTTGCTTTTTGATTAAATATCACTTTAATGTCGGTATTTAATTTTACAGTATTGTTATCTTATTGTGCGATCCGTGTGTTTTTAGTACAAAAATTTAGTTATCCCGTAACCACGCATGAAAAGGCTACCTAGTTTTGTTTATTCCTGGCTGATAAAGCACGCACCAGAGCCAATGAGCCATCGTGCTGGTTGGTTGGCGACTTCGTTCTGAGGATCAAATAATTAATTGATTATTAGCAAGACAAATCCCGGGCAACTTGTAGTATTGCGGTTGGCGGGCTGGGTGCGATCATTATCTACGTACAGTACCCCTTTAATCATCATCTGAACAAAGCAGCATATATATTGAATGAAATAAGCTGATTACATTTAACTCCAACCTTGTAATTGAACTCCAACGTACAGAACTTGCCGAACAAACAAGGGTTTCTCGGCCAATAATCAGCTTAATTATATTAATAATCACCCTGTTGACTGATGCTGAAATTTAGTTTATGTCGGTGCTTATGCTGAAATGTTGTAACAAAAAAATATTATTCAATAACTAAAAAATAGTTCTGAATAAGCTCAAGCGAACAGGGTCAATAATACTATACGTACACTCATTTGCCAAATTAAAATTTATCAAGTTCTCGCCATATGCACACAAGCTGCCAAAACCTACAACTTATTCTCCAATTGCGAGAGTACTATCATCAAATACCGCTGCATCCATGCCAAGCTCTGGGCAGCGCAGTGCAGGAATGAACAAGTCCGTCGAGAGGAGGTTAATGGGAGCGCTAACGATGGAGCTGCGCGCATGCTCTGGGTGTGGGCGAAGAAGCTACAGCATCAGCAGGTGCGCTCAGTCTAAGGCCCTGATTCCCAAAATTTTCATCCAAAGTGTCACATCGAATCTTGCGGCACATGCATGGAGTACTAAATGTAGACGAAAAATAAAACTAATTGTATAGTTGGGTGAGAAATCGTGAGACGAAACTTTCGAACCTAATTAGTCTATAATTAGACACTAATTGCCAAATACAAACGAAAGTGGTCAAAACCAAAAAAAATTTGCCAACTAAACACGCCCAAACATGTGGATCGGGAAAGGCTACAACCTCCCGACTTGGGCCGAATTCAGCCTAGACCACTTTCGCCCCGCGTGCTCCTCCGCCTGGGCCTGTCCGGCCTGCTAGGCTGTCGGCAAAGTCCCATCTCCCATTTTTGGGAAATTCTGTGTGTGTCATTAAAAAAAAGATCGTGATATTCCGTGAGTCTCTGAAAAAGTTCCGCGGTCTTTAGCGTCACTGCTCCAATTTTTTTGTGTCCTCCATGTCACTGCCGTCAGTCTGGGCTCTAACGCCATCAAACTGCATGTGTGAAAAATCGAAAATACCCTTAAGTCTAAATATGCCATTAATTTTTTTTAGCATCTTAACGACTTCAAATGAAAAAACTAAAAACTAAAAAGTTGTAGATCTTGTCGAGATCTATAATTTTTATATAAAAATTATCTTCATTTAATTCTGAAAAAAAAAAATTTGATATGATTTGGAACACCGTGCGCACCCACGCGCTCTCGCGGCGGTGGCGTGGCCTCTGGACGGGGGTCGCCGCCCTGCCCTTCGACTTCAGCATCTGGCGAAAGCTTTGCAGGTCAGACACTGCCGCCGAACGGTACATTGCGTTCGTTTTTTTTTTCTCGATCGGGCATATTGCCCGTTTTTTACATTGCGTTCGTCAATGGCGCTCTCGCGCTTCGTGCTACCGCTAAGGAACCCGCTTTCGTTTTGCAGGTCAGACGCTGCAGCGGAACGGTACATTGCCTTCGTCAATGGTGCTCTCGCGCTTCGTGCTACCGCCGCCAAGGAGCCCGCTTTCGTTGAGGACCTGGCCATCTCGTTCGACATATCTGAACAAGAAACAGGACAGCTAGTGCCCCTATCCGTGGAAGCCGCACAGGGATGGATCCGTTACGCTGTGCAGCACGCGGTGAAATCTTTCATCTTGAAACTGATGCTGCCATGGCAGTGGCGGTTCGACCTGGATCGCGATGACAACGACATCGAGCATCCTGTGATGACCCTTGACGAGATGGATAATCACTATGCAAAGATGGAGACCATGCATTTGAGATTGGGTGGGGCAGAACTTCGACTGCCTTCTTCCACAGTGGTCTTCCCGTCCCTTATAGATCTTTCACTCCAAGACATAGAGGTCCCAGCCGGTGGTGGCTACCTCCTTTCCCGCCTCATGTCGTCGGCGTGCTGTCCACGCCTGCACAAGCTTCGGCTTCGGCAATTGAGTTTTGAGCTCTCTACGATGGAAGTGATGTTGCTTATTGAGGCTAACACACTTTTGGAGCTGTCGCTAGAGTCAATGTTTGAGCTGCAATTCTTGGAACTCAGGACGCCTAGTCTCCAAGTTCTACATATTGAGGACTCCTTCGATCTCAATGGGTTCACAGTCTCAGCTCCAAGGTTGGAGAATCTTAGGTTCTGTGTACAACAGCCTTTGCATATTGATGACGTTCATGGTCAATTGTCAAGTGTGGGAACTCTGAAGATTCAAATGTTCTCACATGGAGAAACCGACAATGAGGATAGAAACGATGCTAGCATTCATCTCCTGCAATGCTGTAGGTTAACTAGATGCCTTTGTCTTTTGAAATTCCAAAGGTATGTTGTATGCATTCAGAGAGACAACCCATGAAAATGCTAGCGTCTTCATTTATTTGTTCAATTCATGCACTTGAATCTGTTCTATGGATTCAATTTGCCTCAAAAATGTTAAAAGAATAAAATAAACATCCACAAAGTCTAATATTTTTTTTTCTGTCGATAATATTTTCTTTTCGAGTTTCTCATTTATGAGTTTGCTTTATCCTTTTCGATCAGACAAAGTATCAAACCGTCGACATAATCAAAGGCAGGATTCCGCTACTTCCTCATGTGACACACTTAGCAGTTGATATTAAACTATGGGAGCGACATTCCACTAGACCTGGCGTAGCATGTCTCCTTGCACAATGCAGCAATATTAAATATCTCAGGCTACAGCTATGCTACATCATTAAAAAGGTGAGAAAAATGTTCTTCATTAGTCAATATATACTAATTGGTTAGAGTTTTGTTTCTTAAATTTTAACCCCTGTTCTTCCATTAGTCCATATATACTAATTGTTAGAGTTTTGTTTCTTAAATTTTAACCCCCTTCTATTCATTCGTGGAATAATAATGCATATATCCTTCCATGGTCTTTACTGCAGAAGAACCAATCAGAATTGGATCTCTTATGTGATAATAACTCATGCCATTGGAGATCCCATGAGTTTTCTCTAGATCATCTCGAGAAAGTAGAGTTCAAGGAATTGATGGGAACTGATTGCGAATTCCAGTTCATTCAATCCATACTGACAAAGGCAACGGGAATTCGGAAGGTAACTATTAGTTTCGACCGATTCTACTGGCGAAAAGGCAGGAAGCATGCTTTTAAACTTATGCCACCACTAGACGGTGGCTGTGGACTATTTGCAAGTGGGCTAAGTTATCCTACAAGTGGAGACGTTGTCTATGAGTGGAGACTAGAGAGTAGTAGAGAGATTGCAGTTGTACAGACATGTTGAATTAGTGTTTCCATATCAATGTATGGCTTCAGACGCTTTGTAGATTCGTGCATTGTTTTGATCTTTATTATGTGTTGTTTTTTGCACTGTTTACTTGGATTAGTCACATCATTGTCCATAGAGTAGCAAAAGTGCTCCCTCCACAGAGTAACAATACTTGCTACAGGCAGTAGCTAAAATAGGCGGCAAACTTGCGCGTGTCCCTTGTGGCCGTAACTACACCCGTATGGCCGCTGAGTTTCAACAGGCGTGTCTGGTTGGTTAGCAAGCTCTGAGGATCAATGTGCTGGTTGGTTGACAATCTGTTTGAGGATCAATTAACTGATTATTAGGAAGACAAGCTCCGAGGATCAATTAACTGATTATTAGGAAAATCTTGAGTATTGCAGGTGGGCGGGCCGGGTGCCATACGCCGGAGCTGGCGGTTACGGCCCGTCGCTGCCATACCGGTATGTTGAATGAATAAGCTGATTGCATTTGACTCCAACCTTGTAATTGACAGTTTCAAAAAAAAAAAACCTTGTAATTGAACTCCAACGTACACAACTTGCCGAACAAACAAGGGATTCTCGGCCAATAATCAGCTTAATCATATATCAATACTGTACGTACACTCATTTGCCAAATTAAATTACCAAGTTCTCGCCATACGCAGGCCAAGCTGCCAAAATCATCAACTTCTTATTATTCTCCAATTGCGAGAGCACTTTCATCAAATACCGCTGCATCCATGACAACTTGGTGTATGTATGTGCGCAATCTGGCACCCGCGTACAATGAACACAACCAAATCGCCAGAACTATGGGCCTATTTGGTTTCCTAGCTAAATCCTGACCTGGCTAGGATTGGAGCATGGGTAGTGCAGGCCTGGCTCCAGCAACACAACATAAGTGAACCTTAGGTCAAAATCAACTGCAGCCAAGACATTTTGGGTGGTTGTGTGCTTCCTGCCCATGAAAGTAGCTATGTGCTTCTCAGGAACTCGAGCAAGAACATGAGTACCATCAATGGCACCAACACAGTCCTAAACAAAAAAGATACATCAACATCTAAGTCCTAGTAGTGAAAATGGAATAGGTGAAGTAAGAAACTCCAACCTTGAAGAAAGGATTCCATTTCCTGCTATTCTGGATTTTGGGATGGACAGAAGTAGGAGGAGCCACTATCATTTCATTTCTTAATTCACCAACTGCATAAAAGCACTTCCTGGAAATATCTACTGATGGTTTCAGTAGCCCTCTTGAAAGTGTGTTTGATGACCCTAAATCTTGTGTTATGGCCAACCACTAGAAGGAACATGGCAACCTGTTCTTCAATCTGGCAGTCAATACTATCCATGAGGAGGCCCCTATTGCGAAACAAGTCGCACAGCTGGAAGAAAGGAGCTCTCTTCATCCTAAGAAGCTCCACACAGCTGCTGTCATCGCTGAAAACCTAGGGGTGCAGATATTTTATACTCTTCATATACCTTAAAATGCAAATTCTTTCTAAGCACACAAACTTGCCATCAGAGTTGAAAAATCAAAATCACTGAGTAACGACCTATTGATAGACAGCAAAAAGTATGGCACTGAACATAATTAGGATGTGTACCTGCAAATGGATGGATGTGCTTGATTTTATAGAATGATATCTTGAGAGGTCAACGCGGGAGGTGCCTAACCTGAACAGCAAAGGCAACTGAAAATTTCAGAGTAGTTCATATCTTGTGGCTGTAGCTGCTGGCTGTCAAATTTTTTCTTTCTAGGTGCCTGACATAGGTTAGCAAGCAATCTCATAAATGAGAACTCCCATGCAGAATGACGGAGATAGCCAATACTAAGAGCCTGTTTGGTTTCTACAGTGCCTCCTAAAATTCCTGTCACATCAAATGTTTGGACACATGCATGGAGTATTAAATATAGACTAATTACGAAACTAATTGCACAACTTGCGACTAATTTGCGAGACGAATCTTTTCAGCCTAATTAGTCCATGATTTGACAACGTGGTGCTACAGTAAACTTCTATGTAATTAGGCTTTAATTGCACAACGTGGTCCATGATTAATTAGGCTTAAAAATCGTCTCGCAAATTAGCCCCCATCTATGTAATTGGTTTTGTAATTAATCTATATTTAATGCTCCTTATTAGTATCTAAACATTCGATGTGACATGAATTTTAGGAGCGACTAAAGAACCAAACACCCCCTAAATAACTCAACTTCTGAACAAATTAGGACTGAAACTAAACCTTTGTAATTGGCAGTGAGGTTATAAAATTCATTGGAGCCTAAATAATACTTATGAATGAATTTTCATCATCACAAATTATATTTTCTGTACAGACAGACACATAATGGAAACTGAATATAGTTTGTTATGATTGAGAGGCCAAAATTCAGTTTTCGCTAAAAAACTATCATAAATGTTGAATGACAAGAGTATACATCAAGATTGGTGCTCAATTGAATTTAATTTTAACAATGTTAATGAAATCCCTGACACCCTTCCCCAGACCCTGTACAGAGCGAGAGCTCTTTGCACTGGGTACGCCCTTTAATGTTAATGAAATCCAATCAGTCATTAGAAGCCTATCAGTTGTAAACGTTGCAGAGCATATTTGAACAAAGGAGGAGATCATGGCATTTGAAGTTTTCAAGTGTATTTCACCATACTATTTATTGAAGCCAATTATTAGTACTACATAAGTCTAAGGGGGAGAAACACTAAAACATCAATCTGTCACAAGATAGGAAAATGCCAAGTGTCAAATCAGCAAGGGAATTGGCCAATATAAAAAACCTTATAATGAGCGGTTTGTAGCTTTACTGTCAAACAGAGTAGCATCAATGCCTATTTTAGGTAAAAGGAAAGGATATTTATTTCAGCTTACAGGGATATATATTTCCGATCTCAATTTAAAGGTTGTAGCTGTCAGTTTAGTTATTTGATACAAAGAGACTTAGAAACTTAGATGATCCCCATTGAACCAGCCTATTAAACTCAACACAAGATTTCATAAAAAACAGAAGGAACAAGATGCAGCACTAGGCCAATTCCAACAGGAACCGAAACAAAGTGGAGTATGTACCTGTTATTTACAGTGAGGAGTGGTTGCCTGCAGGAGATCAAGTCTCCAGTAACGCCATAAGGAAATCCATGTATAGGAAATTAGTAGGGTCAAAAAGAAGGTAGCAGTTTTCAGTATTGATGTCTCATGTATAGATGCAAGCCTATGGAAAAATAAAAAATTATTGCCAGGATTAGCATATGGTACATATAATGCTCATGCTCAGAACAAGGTTTCAATACAACAACAAAGAAATTATTCATAAATTAGTTTGAAGTCTACATATGTTTGATATATGGTAGCTTACTGAAAATGTTGCACCCTAAAAAACGAGGAAGAAACTGTTACAATCAAACAAGAAAACCTCATTTTTATTGTATATGGCTCAACCTCATCAAGCTGTAAATGTAAATAGTTCACTGAGTCGTATTTTATCAGTAGAAAAGTTCAGCTTGCCTCACTTCACTACCTTCTCTCATTTCCTGCAACAGTAAGACGTAGTCTAGAGAAAGCCAGAAAGGAATACCATTTTTCCATTAACTTACAAGTATGCACCGGTAATTCTCTAAAGAATCCTTAATATGAGTACTTGTCAGAAAACATTAAAGCACTGAATTACACTAGAAAAAATCAGTTAACATACATTACTCCTATATGCTTATATTATGGTGCTTAAAACAGCAACTGCATTGGCTGGATCACAATACCTGATTTTAGAGCAGATCTGAACACACAGGTAGGAATTTGGAGCAGCATGGTTGAACTATGGTGAGCTGTAAATAGGTTATTTGCCCCATGTGCTAATTGAATTTGATATATGGTTTTCACTAAAACAAATATTTTAAAATCATGTCCTTTTTCCATTTTGGGTGTATGGTTAGGTACATTAGCAGATTTACTCACAAACACAAAACCTTCCAAAAAATACAAGCTTTGAACATGTTGCAATATAAAAAATTAGGAAATCAGTAAATAAAAAATTAAAAAAACTTGCAATGACGTGGTACAGATCAGACAACCACAGTAACTTCAGTTCTTAGTTTTGAGTTAACTTCAATTCTCGGTTTCACGTTAACTTCGATTTATCGCCAGGTGCAATCCTAGACTCTGGTAGTTATCCCAACAATGAAGACCTTAATGGGTTAAAGACCTATCTAACAAGTGTCCGAACTATCAAGTTGCAACAAAATTTCAGAGTTCGGACAAAATTTGAGTTCGAGCTTTATTCATACATTATCGTGTGAAAGAGAAAGAAATCATTGGTGGGGAGATGGATGGCAATGGGCTTTGGTTACGCATGAATACTTGGTGGCGAAGTTAGCCCCGAATCACATAATTAAGGCTGTAATCACATACCTCACGGCAGGTGGTGGCAATGCCACCGTGTGCGCTGATGCCCGCTGGTTGTGGATGAGGAACCGAGGTGCGGCGACGCGGGCGTGAATGGCGTCGGGCGTCGCGGTGGCGGGGGGCGGGCGAGGTCGTCCGACGGCTTTTCTTGTCGGGCGCGAGGGCCTGCAGCGCCGCGTCGGCGTCCGGTAGCGCCCGTCCGACAATGACAACGGCTTTTGCGTGGTCGTCCGACGGCAACCGTGGTCACGGCGTAGGGTCGCAGCGCCTTGTCGCGTTCAAAGAACGGCCCCGTCCGACGGCGGCAGCGCTTGGCGAGGTCGCCCGGCGGCGGCCATGATCATGGGGCGCAGGGTCGCAGGTGCTGGCGTCGCGTCTGCAGCGTCCGACGGCTTGGCGAGGTCGTCCGGCGGCGGTTCCATGGAGTGAGACGAGCTGGGAGCTGGGCGTCGTCGTGGCGGCGGTTTCTTCGAAGCGAGACAAGCGGGGGGGCTGCGGTTCCTTACGGAGAGGGAGGCGGCGTGAGAAACTTTTTTTTTTCGACGACTTTTTTTTTTACCGTGGCTTGACCACGGAGTCTGATAGACTAAGCAATGTGCGGTTGCATGTGTGTGTCGCGTATGTGGCTGCATGTGTGCAGAGAGGTTGTATAAATATGTAACCGATGCAATCAATAGATCCATCCCTTACATTCTTTCATGGTATCGAGAGGGTTACGATCCCCGCTTCCGCAACCCTAGACGCCGCGGTCCTCTCACGACGCGAGCGCTCGCCGTCGTCGCTGGGCCTCGCGCTCGCCGCGACGCCGCAGCGCTGGCTGCGCGTGCCTTCCCTCCGTCGGCGCTGGGCCAAGGCTCGCCGGAGTACCACCACGTCGCTTGCCGCCACGACGCGCGTGCGTTCGATCGCGCCGCCCGACCGATCCATCGCGCCGGCCGCCGATCCGTCGCCACGCCACGTCGCGCCGCCACGACCGATTCGTCCACGCCGCCACGGTCCGTCCGACGCCGTGAGTTCTGATCGCGCCGCCGACCGATCCATCCGCTGCGGCCGCCCGATCCGTCGCCGTCGCCGCGCGCCGCCACGACCGATCCGTCACGCCGCCACGGTCCGTCTGCGCGCCACGACCCGATCCGTCCCGCCGCCGCCGGTTTCTCGCCTCTACCCCAACCATGGCGGAGACCGCGCCGAAGCCGCGCCGCCCGGAGGCCCAGGAGGCCGCGCGCTGCGCGCGCCAAGGCCCTCGGCAGAAACGAGGCTGGCACGCCGACGTCCACGCCACGCCATCGCTGTCCTCAACATCAAGGTGCTCGTGCCGTCGTCACGGATCGCGTCGCCAACAACTACACCCGTGGCGCGCCCTCTTCCTCGTCGTCTTGGGCAAATATGCCCTCACCGATCACGTCCTCACCGATGTGGTCAACGATGATCGCCGGCGTGGCTGCAGATGAACCGCACCGTCCTCACGTGGATCTACGGCACCATCAACCCCGACCGCAGCAGTCCCACGATGTTGAAAGAGCCCACGCGCTGGTCGCATGGGTACATCCGGAGGACGAGTTCCTCGGTGCAGCTTGAAGTCGCGCGCCCTCTTGCTGTCCGCCGAGTTCCGCACCGTCAAACAAGGCTCCTCCTCCATCACGGACTTCGCCGACGCCCGAGACGATGGCCGCCTCTCTTCGCGAGTTTGGCGACCCGTTGGCGACCGCACCCTCGTCCTCACCTCTGCTGCGGCGGCCTCGGCGAAGTTCCGCCCCATGGTGACGAACATCAAGCCGCGCGACCGCTTTCCCGGCTTCCGGAGGCGAGAACCCTGCTGCTCCTCGAGGAAATCGACCTCAACGACTTCGCCGGCGACGCCGGCACGTCCTCCAGCAGCACCACGCCGGCCGCGGGCGCACCGGCGCTCCTTGCGGCCATGGGCTCCACCAACACCGCATGGCGCCCCCTACCGTGGCCTCGCTCCTCTGGCGCAACCGAGGCGGCGCGCCCACCGGCCAAAACAGCGGCAACTGTGGCGGCGCCGCCCGACGCCTTGTCGACGGACGCAACAAGCAGCAGCAAAGAAGCGGGCGACAAGAAGAAGAAGAAGCGCGCCAGACGGGCAACACCGGCGCCTGCAAGACACGATAAGACCACTCGGGCGTCTCGGCCACCGCCCGCCCGAGGCCGATGTCTGAGCACCGCTGCTGCGGTACATGGTCGTGCAGAAGAAGCAGCGGCGCCAGACGGCTACCGAGCCGCTCCACCGGCTTCGGCTCGCCACCGAGCCAGCGCACCATCCGGCTACGGCCACGGGCGCTGGCTACCACGTCGCCCGCCACCACCAGCAGAAGCAGCAGCGTGGTGGACGCCCATGCATG